ATTTATTTTTTTCTTCTCTCTTCTTTCTTCTTCTTCTTCTTTTTTTTATACAAGCAACTTTATTGAAGTATAATTGACACAGCAGTAAATTTGCACCTTTTTTTTTTTTTGAGATGGAGTCTCCCTCTGTCACCCAGGCTGGAGTGCAATGGCGTGATCTCAGCTCACTGCAACCTCCGCCTCCCAAGTTCAAGCAATTCTCCTGCCTCAGTCTCCCGAGTAGCTGGGACTACAGGCACCCGCCACCACCATGTCTGGCTAATTTTTTGTATTTTTAGTAGAGATGGGGTTTCACCATGTTAGCCAGGATGGTCTCAATCTCCTGACCTCGTGATGCATTCACCTCCGCCTCCCAAACTGCTGGGATTACAGGCGTGAGCCACTGCATCCGGCCTATATAATTTAATTACTTATAATGTCTATTTTCATTATGTCTCCTTGACTGCCACCACCTCTTTGAGGCAGCATCTTTGTTTTGCTCACTGAAGTTCCCAAGTTCACAATGCCAGGTAAATAATAGGCACTGGGCACATATGTTGAATAAATTCCAAAGGATTTTAATCAAATGCAAAGGGTGAAATTCTCTGTCAGGTGTGGTGACTCACACCTGTAATCCCAGCACTTTGGGAGGCTGAGGCGGGCACATCACTTGAGGTCAGGAGTTCAAGACCAGCCTGCTCAACATGGTGAAACCCCGTCTCGACTACAAATACAAAAATTAGCCATCCTGGTGGCAGGCGCCTGTAATCCCAGCTATTCGGGAGGCTGAGGCAGGAGAATCGCTTGAACCCGGGAGGTGGAGGTTGCAGTGAGCTGAGATGGAGCCACTGCAACCTGGGCTACAGAGCAAGACTCCATCTCAAAAAAAAAAAAATTACGGCCGGGTGCGGTGACTCACACTTGTTATCCCAGCACTTTAGGAGGCCGAAGCGGGCAGATCACGAGGTCAGGAGATCGAGACCAGGCTGGCTAACAATGGTGAAACCCTGTCTCTACTAAAAATACAAAAATTAGCTGGGCATGGTGGCCGGTGCCTGTAATCCCAGCTACTCGGGAGGCTGAGACAGGAATGTCACCGGGAGGCAGACGTTGCAGTAAGTTGAGATCGTACCACTGCACTCCAGCCTGGGCAACAGAGCAAGACTCCGTCTCAAAAAAAATAATAAATGAATAAATAAAATAAAATAAAATAAAATAAAATAAAAATACAAAAATTAGCCAGGCCCAGTGGCGGACTCCTCTCGTCCCAGCTACTCAGGAGGCTGAGGCATTGAGAATCACTTGAACCTGGAATGCCGCAGTTTCAGTAAGCCGAGATTGCGCCACTGCCCTCCAGCCTGGGCAACAGAGTAAGACTCTGCCTCAAAAAAATAAAATAAAATAAAGTAAAAAAAGGTGAAATTCTCAAACCAGTGAAAAATTGTAAACGTGAATATAAAATATGTGTCCAAGTCAGTATGGGGAAAACTTGTTAAGCATTAAAAAAAAAAAAAAAAAGTAGTGGCCGGGCAGGGTGATTCATGCCTGTAATCCCAGCACTTTGGGTGGCCGAGGTGGGTGGATTGCTTGAACTCAGGAGTTAAAGACCAGCCTGGGCAACATGGTGAAACCCTGTTTCTACCACAAATATAAAAATCAGCTGGGTGTGTTGGTGCACGTCTGTGGTCCTAGCTACTCAGGAAGCTGAGGTGGGAGGGTTGCTGGAGCCCAGGAAGTTGAAGCTGCAGTGAGCCGTGATCGCACCACTACACTCCAGCTTGGATGACAGAGCGAGACCCCTGTCTGGAAGGAAAAAAAAAAAAAAAAAAGCTCTGGGCAGAGTCTGATGCCTGTAATCCCAGCACTTTGGGAGGCCGAGGTGGGCAGATCACCTGAGGTTGGGAGTTCAAGACCAGCCTAACCAACATGGAGAAACCCAGTCTCTACTAAAAATACAAAATTAGCCAGGCGTGGTGGTGCATGCCTGTAATCCCAGCTACTCAGGAGGCTGAGGCAGGAGAATTGCTTGAACCCGGGAGGCGAAGGTTGTGGTGAGCCGAGATCACGCCATTGTACTCCAGCCTGAGCAACAAGAGCAAAACTCCATCTCAAAAAAAAAAAAAAAAAAAAAAAGCAATACACACTGGAAAATACTATTAGATTCAACTATATAAATACATACATGTATTTCCCCAACAGCACCCCTCCAGCACAATAGATATTTCCATCATATGTGGAATCTAGGGTTAATCTGAATTCAATAAGTTAAAAAGAAAGAGTTCTTAAATCAGTAAGAAAAAACTGAAAATCTCAACAGAAAAATGGATAACATATCGGTGCTTGAAGTGGTCTGGTGACCTATGGAGGTTTCCAAGAACTCTTTCAAAGGTTCTGTGATTATTTTCATAATAACAGTAACTTTTTTTTTTTTTTTTTTTTTTAACAGAATCTTGCTCTGTCACCCAGGCTGGAGTGCAGTGGTGCGATACTGGCTCACTGCAACCTCCGCTTCCCAAGTTCAAGCCATTCTTCTGCCTCAGCCTCTCAAGTAGCTGGGATTACAGGCGCATGACACCATACCTGGCTAATTTTTGTATTTTTAGTAGAGACCGGGGTTACACCAAGTTGGCCAGGCTGGTTTCGAACTCCTGACCTCAAGTGATCCATCTGCCTCAGCCTCCCAAAGTGTTGGGATTACTTACAAGCGTGAGCCACTGCTACTGGCCAATGCTAAGATTTTGTTTGCCTTTTCCAGTGTGTTGACATTTGTGCTGATAATGCAAAAGCAACAGTGGCCCTTAACATGAATCAAGAAAGTGGCACTCAACTGTACTAGTAATCGTATTCTTCACCACCACGTCGTTTTCACTTAAGAAAGTCCTCTTCAGCGGGGCGCGGTGGCTCACGCCTGTAATCCCAGCACTTTGGGAGGCCGAGGCGGGCAGATCACAAGGTCCGGAGATAGAGACCATCCTGGCTAACACGGTGAAACCCCGTCTCTACTAAAAATACAAAAAAAATTAGCCAGGTGAGGTGGCGGGCGCCTGTAGTCCCAGCTACTCGGGAGGCTGAGGCAGAAGAATGGCCTGAACCTGGGAGGCAGAGCTTGCAGTGAGCCCAGATCACACCACTGCACTCCAGCCTGGGCGACAGAGCAAGATTCTCTCAAAAAAAAAAAAAAAAAAAAAGTCCCCTTCATCTGTAAAATGGGTAAATGAAAAGATAACAGAAAGAATGTCCTTGTTGAAGCAGCAAAATATGAATTTTATTATATTTGAGCTCACGTCCTTTTTTTAATAGACCTATCTTTTAGAGCAGTTTTAGGTTCACAGACAAACTGAGCATAAAGCACAGATATTTCCCATATCTCCCTGCCCCCACGTATGTATAGCTTCCCCCACTATCCTCCACCAGCAGCAAGGTTATACATTATTTGTTACAATCAATGAATTTACATTGACACATCATTATTGACCAAAGTCCATGGTTTAAATTCAGCTTCACTCTTGGTGTATATTCTATGGTTTTGGACAACTGTGCATGACATGTATCCACCGTTATAGTGTCATACAGAAGAGTTCCACTGTGCTGAGAATCCCCTGTGCTCTACTTGTCCCTCCTCCCTCTTTCCCCTGTGGCAATCAGGTTTACTATTGCCATACTTTGGCTTTTTCCAGCAGGTCTTATTGTTGGGATCATAGAGTATTTAGGTTGGCCTCTTCATTTTTTTTTTTTTTAGAGACAGTGTCTCTCACTTTTTTGCCCAGGCTAGACTCCTTGGGACTATACAGGTGCATGCTACTGTGACTGGCTTCAAACTGGCTTATTTAACTGTCATATGCATTTTAGGTTCCTCCATGACTTTTCATGGCTTGATAGCTCATTTCATTTTTGCACTGAATACCATTCCATTCTCTGGACATACCAGTTTGTTTATCCGTTCACCTACTGAAGACTATCTTAGTTGCTTCCATGTTTGGCAAGTATGAATAAAGCTGTTACAGATCATCGGTGTGCAGGTTTTATTATTTATTTATTTATTTATTTATTTATTTATTTATTTATTTATTTTTGTGAGACAGAGTCTCACTCTGTCGCCCAGGCTGGAGTGCAGTGGTGCGATCTCGGCTCACTGCAAGCTCTGTGTCCCAGGTTCACGCCATTCTCCTGCCTCAGCCTCCCAGGTAGCTGGGACTACAGGCGCCTGCCACCACGCCCAGCTAATTTGTTGTATTTTTAGTAGAGACAGGGTTTGACAGGATTTTAGCCAGGATGGTCTCAATCTCCTGACCTCGTGATCCGCCCGCCTCAGCCTCCCAAAGTGCTGGGATCACAGGAGTGAGCCACTGCGCCCAGTCATCTATGTGCAGGTTTTTGTGTGAATGTGTTTTCATCTCATTTGGGTAAATACCAAGGGAGTGTAATTAATGGATAGCATGGTAAGAGTGTGTTTAGGGCTGGGCATGGTGGCTCACGCCTGGGATTAGAGTGCTTTGGGAGGCAGAGGCAGGAGGATCACTTGAGACCAGGAGTTTGAGACCAGCCTGGACAACATATTGAGACTTCTGTCTCTACAAAAAATAAAAAATTAGCTGGGTGGGGTGGTGTACACCTGTGGTCCCAGCTACTTGGGAGGCTGAGGTGGGAGGATCCCTTGAGCCTGCGAGGTCAATGCTGCAATAAGCCTTGATCATGCCACTGCACTCCAGCCTGGATGACAGAGCAATACTTTGTCTCAAAAAAAAAAAAAGTTTACTTTTGTGAGAAACCACCAAACTGTCTTCCAACGTAGCCATACCATTTTGCATTCCCACCAGCAGTGAATGACATGAATGAGTGAATGCTTTAATTTGCAATTCCCTAATGACATATGAAGTTGAGCATCTTTTTATACACTCACTTTCCATCTATATATCTTCTTTAGTGGGATGTCTGTTCATATCTTTTGTCCATTTTGTAATTGCGTTGTTCATCTTCTTCTTGTAATTTAATTTTTTTTTTTTTTTTTTTTTTTGAGACAGAGTCTTGCTCTGTCACCCAGGCTGGAATGCAGTGGTGCGCTCCACTCTCTGCAATCTCTGCCTCCCAGGTTCAATCGATTCTCCTGCCTCAGCTCCCGGAGTAGCTGGGATTACGGGTACACGCAACCACACCCAGCTAATTTTTGTATATTCAGTAGAGACGGGGTTTCACCATGTTGGCCAGGCTGGTCTCGAACTCCTGACCTCAAATGATACACCCGCCTTGGCCTCCCAAAGTGCTGAGATTACAGGCATGAGCCACCATAACCAGTTTTTGTTTTGTTTTGAGACAGAGTCTCGCCCAGGCAGGCTGGAGTACAGTGGCACGATCTCCACTCACTGCAACCTCCACCTCCTGGTTGAAGCCATTCTCCTGCCTCAGCCCCTCAAATAGCTGGGATTACAGGCATGTGCCACCAGGCCTAGCTACTTTTTGCATTTTTAGTAGAGACAGGGTTTCACCAAGTTGGCCAGGCTGGTCTCGAACTCCGGACCTCAAATAATCCACCCACCTCAGTCTCCCAAAGTGCTGGAATTACAGGCGTGAGTCACTGTGCACGGTCAGTAATTCTTTGTATTTTTTGGGTAACAGTCCCTTATCAGATGTCTTTTTTTTAATTTTTAAATTATTTTTATTTTTTTTTTGCAACGAAGTCTCCCTCTGTCACCCAGGATGGAGTATAGTGGCACAGTCTCAGTTCACTGCAACCTCTGCCTCCCAGGTTCCGGGTTCAAGTGATTCTCCCGCCTCAGCCCCCCAAGTAGCTGGGATTACAGGCATCTACCACCATGCCTGGTTAATTTTTGTATTTTTAGTAGAGATGGGGTTTCACAATGTTGGCCAGGCTGGTCTTGAACTCTTGACCTCAGGTGATCTGCCTGCCTCGGCCTCCCAAAGTGCTGGGATTACAGGTGTGAGCCTCTGCACCCAGCCAAAATTAGTACATGTTTAGTAAATTACTGTTGAATGGAAAACTGAATGGGTGTTCTGAGTGAGGAGAAAGTCTAACCATGGGAAATTGGAGAGAAGTGGGTTGAGTCCCTGACAGTAACCTTCATTCCAGCACCAGCTGGTCAGGCCCCTCTGAGACCCATGTGATTTCCAAATAGGATCAAGCAACCCCTTCTGAGCCTGAGATTGACCTGGAGGCTCTCATGGATCTATCCACAGAGGAGCAGAAGACTCAGCTGGAGGTAGGATGGGGGCTAGAAGCCGGCCTTGGGTCAGAGGGAACCCAGACTCCCAGGTTCTGCCTCCTTTGGTGGAGTGGAGAGAACCAACCCAGAGGGGAGAATTCTTGGGAGATTGGTGGGGACTTGTGGGAAAGTGCTGTGACTTGGGGCCCTCTCTGTGTTCTCCCCTATCTAGGCCATTCTTGGGAACTGCCCTCGCCCCACAGAGGTAAGGGACGTTCTGCTGGTCTGGGGTAAGAGGAGGCCCAATGTGGGAGGCAGCTAATGAAGAGGAGTATTTGAAGGGAAAGCTTGACTGTGGGTCTTCTCCTTCTCTGGGGAGTTAGGGGTAGGGGAAGATTAGAGAGGGCAGGGTGATGGGTGAATTGTGACCCCAAGCCTTGGTCTCACTCCTGTTTCTCCCTCAGGCTTTTATCTCTGAGCTGCTCAGTCAACTCAAGAAACTCCGGAGACTCAGCCGGCCTCAGAAATAAGCCTGAAAGACCATCTTTAGCAGCCTCAGCGCTGCCAGGCCTGCCCTGAAACTCCAGATCCTGGCTAAGAGGGAAATAGCTCCTTGGGACACAAACAAGAAATGTGAACAAGGAGGGACATTTGCATACTCCTACTGGCTGTGCGGTCACAACTAGTTTCTGTCAGCTGGGCTCTCTGGGAGAGAGCTGGCTGCTGTCTAATGCCTTCCTTGGCAGCCAAGTGGATAAAACCTTTAGGAGCCCCAGCTCAATGGAGTGTGGAACATGTCTGTGCTGAGGGACAGGGGAGGGAGAGGATGAAGTGATACACAGGAAGGCCACAACCTAAGTCACTAGGCTGTGCCCACACACCCCGTCCGTCCGTCCGTCCGTCCGTCCATCCATCCATCCATCCATCCATCCATCCATCCATCCAAAGGACTCGAGAATTCAAAGACGAAGGTCACAGCTCCACTTCAGAGAGATCACAATCTAGCAAGGCCAAGGAGCCAAGCAGACATTATCTGCCTAAGGTACACAGCCTCCTGGCATAACCAACAAGAGGGACGCCAATGGCAAAGACTAGTTTCAAATCCTAGAGAGGAAGTAACAGGAAAAACCTAGCGCCTCAGAAAAGTCCGAGCGCCTCAGAAAAGGCTCCTCCAACCACAAATGATGGAGGACGTAGACCTCAGCCCGAGGGCTCCTTAGGGAGTTGGTTCTAGCCAGGGGCAGGAAGAGAAATAGCAGAGGCAATGCAGAGGCATGTGAAGGGTACATGCCGAGAGGTCAGGGGTCCGGTTAGGGCGCATCACTGGCAGAGAGATACTGAGACTGAATGGCAGGCAGGTTGGTACAGGAGCCCTAGGAGGTGGGGTCCTTTGCCAGTAAGGCAGGAAGCAGGGTGTGTGTGCATTGTCCCAGCATGCATTGTGTGAGAAGTGGAGAGGCTGAGAAATCCAAGATGGTGGGGCCTGGTGGCTAAGTAGGGCTGCCCAGAGCTGGAGCACAGTTCAGTTGAATGAATGAGCATGTTTACTTCATGTGACGCCACCAGGATGAGTAGGGTTGCTCCTGCCTGGAGAAGTTCATAGGATGGCTCAACCTTTTCCCCCATTCCCCACAATTGTGCTTACAGCCTGCTCTGTTCCTGCCACCGCTCACAGGGCCCAGGCTCACAGGGTTGTAGAAATGAGATGCTAGGCTCAATGAATCAACATACTTTATTAGATCCACTAAGTGCCAGGGGAGGACCCTGTGCCCCAGAGCCAGGTTCCAGGGCTCACCCGTAGATTCAGTCTGGTCTCTCCCCATCATGCCTCTCACTTCCAGTCTGGGCTTCTAATAGGAGGGCCCCGACTTCTTCCCTCGGCCCTCCCAGTCATCTTCTCGAATAGAGAATCTTTCCGCATTCCAGGGACACCAAAGCTCAGGAAGGGGCCTATCCATCATCAGTAGAGCCAGACAAGCTCTCCCATCGGACGTCCTGTGGCTGGGCCCAGAAATGGGTGCCACTGCCTGTGGGACTGCCTTTCCAGGAGAACCAGGGTGTCCTCAGTGCTCTCGGCCTGCACGCGGAGGGGAGTAGGCAGATGTCTGGTGCTCTTTAAGCTCAAAGGCATCATGGCCCTCTCTGTGGAACAAAGGGATACAAGTCAGGGATCCAGGCAGCCCTTGAGCCCTCCCACAGAACATTCCACCTGCACCCACCGGAAGCAGCGGGCACAGAAGAGGTCCCCGTCGCAGCCAGCGCAGCGTAGGGTGGCATCCTCATTGCAGATGCAGCACCAGGGGAGCTCCTCTTCCTCAGCCTCAGGCCTGGGGTCCACATCCTGGGCCTTCAGGGACCAGAGAGGAATAGAGGAAGTAAGGTACCCAGTGGGGTGTGGGAGCCGCTGCAGGAGCAGTCAGCCAGGCAGGAAGCAAGGCTGTGGGCGGCCTGGGGGTCTGCACCTGGGGCTTTTCTCACCTCAGGCTCTGTCCTTCGGGGTTGGGTCCGGGGTCGAGAAGCCTGCTCTGCAGGGATGTTAAAGCCACTTGCCTCATCCAGGGCAGCTTCTTCAGTGAGCTGCAGACAGGGTGAAGAGGTACCACTCCCTGCTCCAGGCCCAGGCCCTCCATCTCCCGGTATTTCTGTGTGCTGTGGACTTCTCAAACTCATCTTTTTCTTTACTTGTGGCTTGTGGTTGCTGATTCCCTATCTCCAGGGACCAGTGGGCAGGTCTGGGTCACAGGGACAGTGGGGGCCCAATGAGAACTCCCAATGAGGCTCCCACACCCCACTGGGCACCTTACTTCCTCTATTCCTCTCTTGTCCCTGAAGGAGCTTCACAGTTACTGTCCAACCACAGTGGAGGTGGGGCAATGAGGCAGAGACGGGACAAGGGGTGGCAGGTGAGTAAGCCAGGCCCACCTGCTGCAGGACTCTCTGGATGGCTGTCTCCTCATCCTCGTCGTCATCACTGTCTGGGAGGCGATAGTCCTGGAGGGTCACTTGAAGAGGGAGACGGGAACAGGGGAAGGGGGAGTGAGGGTGAGCGATTTCACATGAGTGGCTGCCCTCCTGCCTCCCAGACCTGGTTCGGTTCCCAGGGGCACTTATTTCAGAGCTGAGAAGCCTCTTCAGCTACCCTGATCAGACCTGTCCCTGCCTGCCCCAGCCCTGCAGGGCTGGGCATCACTGAAGCAGGCCTGAGGGCTAGGTTGGAGGCAGGAGTGGAAGCCTCAGCCCCTGAATGGACTGAAGGTCCCCTGCCCTCATGGCTGCCCCTGACTCCTCCTCACCCACTGCTTTGCTCTACCACCTTCCTTGTGGCTCTGGGCTGGGCTCAGCAGATCTCTGGACACAAATACCCCCAGCACCTGACTCAGCCCTGCCAGGGAGGCCTTGCCAAGGGACACCAGTGAGCAGCTGCTCCCCCGCCTTCACCTCTCTCGGGGTCCTGTCCCCGCAGTACGGCCAGTCGCTTGGCCAGGGCCAGAATCCGTTCCTGCCTCGTGTTCTCCTCCCGCAACTCAAGTGCTGCCTCAGCCAGCAGTCTGCTCTTCTCCTCCTCGAAGGACCAGCTGGCCTGCTTCTTGGAATTAGTGCTCCCTGGGCCACCCTGGTTGAGGTCATTCTGGAGAGAGGCAGCTGGAAGGGGTAATGCCATCAGAGAGGCAGAGACATCCCAAGATCTCTCCTCAGAAGCCAATGAGCCCATTTCTCAACGCTTTCTTGCTCTTAAATAATTTTCTTTCTTTTTTTTTTTTTTTTGAGATGGAGTCTCGCTCTGTCACCCAGGCTGGAGTGTAGTGGTGCGATCTCAGCTCACTGCAACCTCCACCTCCCGGATTCAAGCAATTCTCCTGCCTCAGCCTCCCGAGTAGCTGGGATTACAGGCACATGCCCCCATGCCCAGCTAATTTTTATATTTTTAGTAAAGATGGGGTTTCAACATGTTGGTATCCAACTCCTGATCTTGTGATCCACCCGCCTCGGCCTCCCAAAGTGCTGGGATTACAGGCGTGAGTCATCACGCCCAGCCTTTCTCAACCCTTTCTAATCACAGATCATCAGCTTTTTGCTCAGCACTAGAGCCTATGGTTTCTATTACAAATAAAATCAGTATTCCTCCATTTTCCCAAATGTAAAAAACTAGTAATCTTAGCCATGTCTTTTCCAACCACATCCATCCCCATCTACCTGATATTTTATAACATTCTGTCCTAAGGGTGGGTGTCCTATGGTTTGAGAATCACTGCCCTAAAGGAACAAGACATGATGAGGCCAAGGTTCAGTCAGTCTCTTTGCCTTTCAGGGCAGGAATTACCATTTCCTGGGATCAGCACAGAGAAGGCAATGAAGCCAAGACCTTGTATATCACTGGGCAGGAAGAATTTTACCACATTAGGTGTGGCTCTGACACAGTCACCTTCAGTTTAGTGTTTCAGAGCAAGAGGTTTAAAATTACAGCTTAGGTTTAAGTCTCAACTCTGCAGCTTAATGTCTGTGTGACCTTGGTCAAGTTCCTCAAGCTCACCAGGCCTGTTTCCTCATTTATAAAAAAGAATAGTATATACCTTATAAGATTTTTTTTTTTTTTAAACAGGGTCTTGCTATGTTGCCCTGGCAAGTCTTAAACTCCTGGATTCAAGCTATCCTCCTTCCTGCCTCTGCCTCCTTAAGTGTTTAGGATTACAGGCATGAGCCACCACACCTGGCCTCCTAAGATTATCGAGGCTATTCAATGAGATTGTGCCTCTAAAGCAGGATTTCTCAATCTTAGTTCTCTTGACACTTTGGACTGGGTAATTCTTCATTGTGATGTACTGTCCTGTGACACAGTAGATTTAGTAGCATCCCTGGCTTCTATCCTCTAGGTGCCAGTAATATCCTGAGTTGTGACAACCAAAAAGTCCCTAAACGTTGCCACAAGTAGCCTGGGGGCCAAAATCATCCTTTGTTGAAAAACACTGCTCTGAAGCCTTCAAACAGCACTGTCCAACAGAATGTTCTATGATGACGGAAACATTCCATATCATGTTCTATATCTGTGCTGCCCGAGATGGCAGCCATGAAGCCCATGTGGCTACTGAGCATTGAGATGTGGCTGCCATGAAGCCCATGTGGCTACTGAGCATTGAGATGTGGCTGGTGCTACTAAATAGCTTCTTCCTCCTTATCAACATCATGATTGCAGAGAATATTCACTGAGTACTCACTATGAGTCAGATACCATCCCAAGCACTTATTGGATTACCTCATTTACTCCTCGTGATTTCCCTGAGGTAGGCTTTTCCATACATATCTTCATTTTACACATGAGGAAAGTGAGACTTAGGTCAAGTAACTTGTCCAGCATCACACAGCTAATACGTGGTGGAACTGGGAATCACTGTCTGATTCTGAAGCCCGTGCACTTAAACACTAGACTTACACTGGCTCCCTTTGGAGTAAGCACTCAATGAATGGTAACTCTTACAATGTTGATCACTCTCTGATTTACATTCATCTCCCAGAGGGTGGACAGCAGAGCCTCTCCAGTCTGGGGAAAGAGGTGGGGCAGATTCCTAGGGAGCCAAATGGAGGGGTTACCTGGGCCTCCTCCTTTCCAGCTGTCGATAGCCACCTCAGCTGCCAGCCGTGTTAGCAGATCCTGTGTCTGCTGGGCTTGGGTCCTGTTGTCTGGTGTGTGATGTGCCTGCCCAGACGAGGAAACCTCAGTGGAGAGAAGGGGTAGCCCAGAAGCAGTCTAGGTCAGGGATGGATGCTAAGGAGTTCTCA